GTGTGGGATCCGAACCTGGGCTATGCTGCTCAGAGCTGGCGTTCCAAGCCAACTCTTAAACAACATGCCACTAGGCCAGCCCCACTTACTTTATGTTTTAAACAAAGCGTTTCAAGCATTTTCTGCTCCAAAGTTTTAAGATGTTAAACTTCAGATCTATGAATTAAGACCCTTCCCTCACCACTAATTTCAAGGGCAGAAGTGAACATGACACATGGTTGGAAATATATATTCAATTTTATTGCATTAGAAAAATTCACTTAAGCCACATGGTGGCGATAATGCCCATCTCCTGAACAGGCTTTGTCATCCCATTGCCCCCTTCAGACCAATATACCCACATACACACTAGGTTGGAGGAAGGACTTAAAAATGCAAAACAATGAGACCTGAACACTGAACACTCCATCCTCCCTCTCCCTACAGCCAACCAACAAACCTCTTCAACTGTTACCCACACACAGAAGAGCTCACATGAAAGAGAAGCTAAACATCAAAGAAACTGACCATATGACACCCAAGTCCAAAGGAATTCTTGGCCGATGTTTAGGTAGTAGGGTTGAACATCATCCTCTCCCAGCAGCTGAAGTTGCACCACAGCCCTCATCTAAGAGAGGTCAGAGCTATGTTGCCAAGGACAGCAAAACATACAGCAGACTCTGGGGAGAAGAGTGAGATCACTTCATCCCAAACCCATACATAGGCAAGCCACTCACACCTGTGTAACAAACAGGCTCTTCCTTCCAGAGCAAGAAGCACCCAGATGCAGGAGGGGCCCTTCAAGGGCCTAGTAACAGTTAGTTCTCTGGTAACACTGATGCCGAGCTTGCCTGCCCAGGAACTGGTTGGACAGCTGGCTGGAAGGGTTAGGCCAGTGTTCCAAGCTTATAGCTGGTGGAGGGAGGTCTTATCACACCCTTCTGAATGGATGTTCTGGAAGGCCCTTGGGGGCACTGTGCTGGCTAGTTGACCTCTGGTGGTCCAGGAGCCCCCCGGCGATGGGCTCTCCAGTAAGCCCCCCAGTGACTCCACCAGTCTAACGAAGACGGAAAGCAGAGTCAGCACCACACCTAAGAGATAGAGGTTCAACATATGCTTCATGGCTGAAAGGATCCCGCTCCTTTGTACAACAGCAGAGATGGCTTCTGCTTCTGGAAGTTCTGTGGATTCTGAGAAAAGAGAAAGGTTGGTCTACAAACTTTTGGGATTTGCATGCATCTGGCCCTGAGCCTTCTGTCTTCCCCTGGAGCTAAGGGAGGGGCCCAGCCAGCCAGGGAAGACAGGAACCCGTGGAGGTTCTTCCACAGCAGAAGCTCAAGAATATTTACACTGTCAACTCCATGGCTGCACAACCAGTCTTGCTTCTTGGATTNACACGCCACTTGGCCGGCCCTCCATTATTTTTTTTTCAATCTCAACACACCTCACAATCCCATTTGATTTTTATACCCATCACCTGTTTTTTTTTAAAAAAAACCTTAAGTCTAAATTGACAAAATAAAAAAAGAATCCAAGATCCTCAAAAACCAGGCTGAGGCTCTACCTGCAACACCAAGCACAGTGCTTGGTACATATAGATACTAGATAAATATTTGGTACGTGAATGAATGAGGTTCTACATAGTTTATACACTAAGGAACACTGTCCCTTCTTTTCATCTGAAGTCCAGCTGCAAAGCAACGCAGTCAGTCATCCCACCCCTTCTGGCCCCTCCCTGGGGCCTTTCTTTACCTCCTGAGAGTGATGACTGGAGTACAACCAGGTCTTCTCCAGGTGGAAAACTGACCCGGGGGCCAGGTGACGTTGGCCATGAGGAGGACATTGGGGAGTGGCAAGGAGGGCACCGAGGAGGTCACCCCAAGGATCACAGTGGTCGGCCCTTCACAGACATCCATCCAGTTCCCGGACTTGGCGACCTAGGAGTCAGCCCCCGGTACACGGGTCAGAGAGGCAGAGGACAACAGTGGAAGGATACAGGGGCTAGAAAGTGGCACTTCAACGTGGTGACAAACTGGGAGCACCTGTGCTTCTGACACGTGTGTGGGACATTGGGCCGGCCAGGACCTGTGTCCATCTTTTTTGTGGGTCCCCCCCAAATAGACAAGCTCATTGTCCATAGGAATACCGTGTTGCCCTTCTTCGTGTCCTCTGCATTATCCAACTTTAAAAGGACGCACTAGTAAGAGAAAGCTGAGTGGTGCTGAAATTGTATTCCTCCATCCTAGGGTACACGAAGCCAGCACAGGTTACTAATGGTCTGGAAGGGAGACGGTGAGAATAAAGTTCCAGAAGGGGAGGAGAGTAAGGAAAGAGTTGTGGAATGGGGAAGACCCAGGCAGCCCAACTTGGGGGATGTTTGGGGAGCTTCCTCCATGACAAGGGAGGGTGCGGCTTATTGCTGGGTCTTGAGTGTGATAAGGACCTGTTCTCTTGCAGCGCCTGGGGTTGTGGCAGGACAGGGAGCCTGGGTGCCTGGCACTGGGGCACAGTGTCTCAGCTAAGACACCCCCATCTCACTCTCCAGGGTAGGCAGGGAAGCACTTGTGAGGAACCACAGGGACCAGGGTAAGGAACACCCGAGAGGTGACCCCTGTGTCCCCAAGACCAGAGGGCTTTCTCCAAATGTTCTAGACTTTGTTAAGACCATCAGGACCATTTCGCAGCCTGTGATGGAACTGGGGGGCAAGGGGAAAGCCCCAGGAATAACTGAAATTTAAGTTCCCACAAACTTGACCCAACCGTGCTCCAAGAAAAGTGTGAATTTAGATTTTGAAAAATGAAAGTGACATTTCTCAGAGCTCTTGTTGTGGAATGAAACTCATGTCCATTACAAAGCAGAGGGCTGCATACACTGAGGGTAAGTGCTAAATAAATGCTTGTGGATGGTGCTGGTTGGAGCTCATGGCAGTGCTGGTGAAGCTGAGGGGAGGGGGAAGAGGGAGCAGCATAACTATGTGGGCTGGATCATTTCACATAAACTTTTACCCTGCTCTGGGTTAACTTCAGCAGGCAGGGCTTCCCCATCCCTGGCGCACAGCCTGCGTTTTCTTACTGTCCATCCAGACAATCCAAACAAGTTTCAACATTAGGTTAAAGAGAATACACTAGGAGAATAAACATGTTGCCAAAACATCACACCCAAATAGAAATGACCAGAATTTGGTATCCCGAGTCTCAATTCCCCATGTTACTGCTCTCTCTCCACCGAGTGCGCTAGGAATGTGCACACACCTGCACGTTTGCCAGCTTATCACCCACCATGCAGCTCCCTGGGGACTGTGGAGCACGCAGAGCCATGAATAAACTCTGAAATCTGGGAGTTTCACCCGAGTGTAGCTCACTGCTCTGTGAAGAGATCTCCCAATTAAGCCCAGTACCCACCTCAAATGTTCCCATTTTCTCTCCTGTAACTCCTAACGATTTTGGACTCCATCAAATGGATTCTTGACTGCAGACCTTCCCTGTGCATTCCAGCTTCCTGCCTTCACCCAGGTACTTGAAGTTCCTCTGCCTGGAACGCTCTGCCCCTTGCTCTTACACTTAACAACGTCTCAGCAATACCTCAAAGAATGGCTTGAGCCCCCACCTTCTGCGAAGCTTTCAACTGCCAAAGTCCAGAGACTGCTGTGAGCTCCCTCAGCCCCGCCCTCTGTGCTCATGCTTTAGGGATCAGCTGGTCCAAACCATTTCTAGACAGTTGCTATTTTATAGTACACTCTCGAAACCTACAGATTCATAAGCTTCTTGGCCAGGGACACTCTCCGATCCCTCTTTGCACCTCCTGCCACGCACACAGCTTGCTGACTGACTAACTGGTTATGCCATACCTGCAAAGGAACACAGGTGCACAGATTCCAGCCAGACCATGAGGGGGAGGTGGGTGGCAACCTTGGGAAGATGTCAAATATATTGAAACGATCAACCCACACTTCCAGTGGCTCCCTGCTTCCCAGGCCACAAATGCTCACTCCCATCGGTCATGCAACCACCCTTTTGAGGGTAGTAGAATCTAGGAGAGGCCAATTTATTCAGGGACCTTGCTCCCCAAAACGCCCGTTTCTTAACTGTCCCCGAGAGAGGAGGTCAGATTTCAGAGCCGGGGTTCTGACAGTCACTTTCTAACCAGCCAGTTTGGACTGTTGGTCCCAGGAGAGTATCTATGGACCCTTCCTGAAGAGTAAGCTCAGCTGTCTCCTTTTGCAGAGTATAACTCTATTTCCTTAAAGCATGTGACCTGCAGAGAGCCCCATCACAATATAGGCACAAACAGGTGAACTTGAGATCCAGACCCCCTCATTTCTATAGCGGGAGTGGCTTTCTCCTCCCCAGGGCTTTAAAAGGCCACATAGCCTTTTTGGACCAACCCCTGGGAACAGATTTTTGGAACGGGGAAGAGGGCTGGCTCTGAGCTGCACAAGGTTACCTGGATAAAGTTGCTTTCAAACATCACTGAGTCAGGGAACAAGTTGAATTCTGGAGAGCGAATCAGTTTACAAAGAAGGCCATCTTCCACCCCAAGTTCCACTCCAGGGCCTGGTTCCCTGACCTCAGGTGGGAGGCCCCTAATTTTACTCATTGGTTCTTGGGAAGAATGGGCTTGGGAACATCCCTGGGGCTCCACGCAGACCCAGCCCAACTCCAAGGTGTTGGTGCGACCGCTGCTCCCCCCACCGCCACAGCTCCACTTCCCCTCGTGACTTACCAGCTGTCCTCTAGTCCGGGAGGGCTTGCCGGCTCACAATGGCAGGAATGACATCAGGGAATGTGATGGCAACAACAGGAAAGGGAAAAAGAAGAGGCAAGGACGAAGTAGGGAGGAACAGGGTTTTTCTCTCGCTACAAACTCGCAGTAATAAAGCATATCCCATGTTTCACTCAATCTCCCCCACGAACATGTGGAAAACGACTCCTTCCAATGTTATGCCAAGACAGCAGTGAGCTGGCCAGAACAGCAAGATCGGCCCTCAGGAAACCCACAGCCTTCGATCCTCCCCCGCACAATGAGGCTTCTCATAAACTTTCTCTGTAAGTGTGACTGGTACCCACATAAGAATTACCTCAGGGGTGAAACAGCTCATTATTGACACATTTTGCTATGCTGCATTTTGAAGAGTCCTTGAATAAAAATTAAAAAAAAAAAGTCATGATGTTAAAAAAAGGGCTGCATCTTGGGAATCAACCGCCAATTAGTTCAATGATATTGTTTAAGTCACTGAGTTTCCTTGTTTCCTCTGTAGTAAAATGAAAAGATGGCGCCAGAGTTAAGGCCTCAAGCTAATAATCCATAGGGACTTAAAACTCATACTTGGAGTTTTCTAAGTAACCTGTCCGTAGGTTCATCTCCATGCCCTTGCTCACTGTTCACTCTACTGGGAAACTCCTAACCTGACCACCTACTCATTTTTTAAAATTCAGATCCTCTAAGAAGCTTTTCCCTAACAGCCACCTCTTGCCTGCGAATAACTTTATGTACCCACTGTTCTATATATATATATATATATATATATAT